CTGCTGTTAGGGTTGGCAGATGTGAAGGGAACATGGGAGATAGGGGGCAGCAAACAGGAGGGAGGGCAAGCATCCAGAAGGCTGGCAGCCCCCAGGAGAGCCCAGAAGCCATCAGCAGATGGGCCAGAACTGAATTTCCCTGATCTGGCAAACTCCCTCATTTGGGACTTGTCAGGTCATAGAATCTTAGGGCTGGAAGAGACCTCAGGAGGTCATCATGTCCAGCCCCCTGCCCAAAGCAGGACCAGACCAACTAAATCATCCCAGCCAGGGCTTTGTTAAGCTAGGACTTACAAACCTCCAGGGATAGAGATTCTACCACCTCCCTAGGTAATTCATTCCAGTACTTTACCACTCTCCTAGTGAAATAGCTTTTCCTAATATCCAATCTAGAGCTATCCCACTGTAACTTGAGACCATTGCTCTTTGATCTGCCTTTCATCACTACTGAGAACAGACTCGCTTCTATTCTCTTTGGAACCTCCCTTCAGAAAGTCGAAGGCTGCTATCAAATCCCCCCCTCAATCTTTTCTTTTGCAGACTAAACAATCCCAAATCCCTCGGCCTCTCCTCAGAGGTCATGTGCTCCAGCTCCCTAATTATTTTGGTTGCCCTCTGCTGGATCCTTTCCAATGCATCCATGTCCCTTCTCTAGTGGGGGAGGGGAGGGGGCCCAGAACTGGACACAGTACTCCAGATGTGGCCTCACCAGTACCAAATAAAGGGGAATAATAACTTATCTAGATCTGCTGGCAATGCTCCTCCAAATGCACCCTAATATGCCATTAGCCTTTTTGGCTATAAGGGCACGCTGTTGACTCATATCCAGCTTCTCATCCACTGTAATCCCCAGATCTTTTTCTGTTGAACTGCTACTTAGCCAATCGGTCTCCAGCTTGTAACAATGCTTGGGATTCTTCCGCCCCGAGTGCAGGACTCTGAACTCGTCCTTGTGGAACCTCATCAGATTTCTTTTAGCCCAATCCTCTAATTTGTCTAGGTCACTCTGGACCCTATCCCTGCCCTCCAATATATCTACCTCTCCCCCTAGCTTAGTGTCATCCACAAATTTGCTGAGGGTGCAATCCAGCCCCTCATCCAGGTCATTAATACAGATGTTGAACAAAAGTGGCGCTAGAACTGATCCTTGGGGCACTCCACTTGAAACCGACTGCCAACCAGATTGTGCCGGACCAGGGAAACTCAACCTGTACAAAGATGGCAGTGGTGTATAATGTGCAAAATATATTTGTTTATACAAGAGCAGACACAAATGCAGTGGAATGTTAACGTTCTTGTACATGTCTTTAGGGATATCTCTGTAATAAAGTATATGAATGGACTTTCTTGTAACGACTTTGCTTTGGTTTGCCATTCACTGTGCATATCTCTTTACACACAAGGTTCGAACAGTTTCACTGTCTGGTCATATCACAGTCAGTCTCCCAGTAGTCCTAACCCAAATAATCATTTTGCTGTTAGACTAATATGTTTTTGGTGTGTCACATTGTGCACTGTGGGAGCTCACCTTGTTAAGGTTACATCAGAGGTTGACAAGATTAAACTGAAGTCATTTTCTCTTACAGCTTAACAGCTAGAGTATCTGTATTGTCAGCAAATAAGACTTTATCCCCTTTCCCTAGGGCATTATCTTGAATGTAGTGTCAGAGTGCCAGATGGATTTACTTCACTATTTTTAATCCAATTTTTATTTTTAATTTTCCTCTACCGCCTTTCAGCTGTCACAGGCAATATTTTCCTGGGAAACTATAACAGATGTCCACAAAAGGAATGACTGTACAACAGCCCTTCCTTGATGCCAGTCTCTTCCTAACCTCAGTACTAACCATTTCAAGTACAGAGGTCAGAGGTTTACCTGATGTTTGTTCTCCATGGCATGATTTTTAAGAAACAAACAAAATTATTTTTGTTCTTTCAACATGACATGGAAAAAGTTTAGGGGAGGTGTTATTAGAGTCTATTGTTTTGTTATTAGTTATAGACTTCAATGCCTTTGGGATAATTGATGGATGAACATGCATTTCAATTGGTTTTACTTGTTTACATAATCAGATTATTCCATCAACTTTTCCACAAATTGTAAGACATGAACCATAGTCTCAGGCCTAAAAAGTCAATTAATTAAACAAAAACCTGTTAATTGCAAAATTAAAAGTATTTTTATTAAAGTCTTAACAATTTTTAATACCTACCAAGCCTGGCAATTTAACATTTCAGAGGAACATAATGAAGGACGATGTCTACAGATTAATCCCTTTGGGAAAGGAATAACCAAATTAATAAGGAAAAAAAAAGGAGAGTGTGTCAGCAATATGCTTTTGTTTCCATACTGTTTATATCTTTCTGTTTCAAGAACTTAGTATTAAAAACAGGAAGACATTGTATCTTCCTCTTAAAAGATATAATATTTAAATATATTGTGGTTGAATTTTGATATACATGTTTATGAAAATCTACTGTAAAAGCGATGAAAAGTTCCATTATCAATGACCATGAAATAGTCATGCACAACTTGCTATCGTCTGAGATCCATTAATGTTTAGTAATGTAAAGAGTACTAGTGTCTCTTCTCTTCCACCTATATTCTCCTGCAGCCTCTGTGATGGGAAAATTCTGTGTGGGTCAGAAAAGGAAAAAGAATCATCAGTGACTTTAAGGAGTGCTCTTTCCTTGTTTCCTTCCTTCCTTTTTGAATGCTCAGCCTTACTGTGGGCTAGTTGGTAAATTGCTACAACATAAACCTGTTGTCTTTCACTCCCCAAGGGAGGTTTTATAAAGCCTTCTCCTTTTCCATGGTGGCATTCTGCACCCTAATGAATAGCTCTCCTCTTGGGTTAAAAGTAGGGGACCAAGTTTTGGAGACCTGCTGTTTGGCATCATGCTGGTTATCTTTCCCAGTCTGGGAAGGAATTTTTCCTCACCACTTCATTGGCCTTAAATAAGAAGCTGTCAGTATTATCTCTTGTAAGGGTAAACCAACATTTTTGTCATAGTGAATGGCTGAATAAAAAGAGGCATCAAGTGGACCTATAGGTTCTAAAGTTTTACCTAGTTTTGTTTTTGAGTGCAGTTATGTAACAAAAAAAAATCTACATTTGTAAGTTTCGCTTTCATGAGAAAGAGATTGCTTTATGGTATTTGTATGAGACTAATTGAAAAATACTATTCATTTAGTTTATCATTTTGCAGAAAAGGTTGGACCTCCATGGTCCGACACACTCAAGAACTGAGTGGTCTGGAACCAGAGAGTTTGCCAAACCAGAGAAGGTCAGTACTACTCTGCTAGCCCTTGGCCCTGCTCCCGGGCTTCTCTCTGGACACTGGAGCTCCCAGGGCTGGGAAACCCTGCCCTGCTGCTGGCCCCACTAGCGTGAGCTCAGCTGAGCTCCCAGAGCCTGGGCTCCCCACCCTGCTTCCCACCAAACTGCCATCAGAGGGAGTCCCCAGGGTTTTGGGCCAAAGCAGCCTGTCCACCACCAGACCCGCTGCTGCTAGAGGTTCTCTGAAGTGCCCTGCCAGGATTGCCCTGTGGCCAAATAGAGAGTCCTGTATTTGAGAGGTTCAACCTGTACAAATATTTGTAATAAAATAATAAAAATCTGTCCTGTGTGCTTTGTATTCTCTCTTGTAATTGAAATCAATAGATTTAAAAATGTAGAAAAACATTTAAAAGTAATACATTTCAATTGGTAATCTTGTTTAACAGTGCAACTAACTGAGATTAATCACAATTAATTTTATCACAATTAATTGTATGTGTTAATTGCATGACTTAACTGTGATTAATCTACAGCCCTAAAATGACTCTTTTGAAAACATTTAAAGCTTTCAGGTACCCATCATGTATCATTTATCTGTTTCTTTGCTCATCATTTTACCTTCATAAATATAATGAAGAAATCCTATACAATTAATTTCCACGGTATTGGGTATCTGGTCTCTACATGTGCTGTTGTTATTTATGATCATGTACTTAGTTATAACAATGACTGTGATTCAACTTCATGAGCTTCTTCAAAGATATTACGCTCGGACCTTTTACAGTTAGTAAACGTTTGAAAAACTTTTTAGTTTTCAAAGGTTGAAAGATTAAAAAGGGTTATGTATTGCTTCTTGTTGCCTAAAGAGTTTGATAGAATCCTTGTTTGAGAGAGGTCTCTCTCTCTCTCTCTCTCTCTTTCTTTTTCATATCCACACTCTTGTGCAACTCCCAATCAATCATTTTATCTAAATTGCTTTTGCTTATCTTGTTAAGCTCTATTCAGAAGAAGCCAAATATCATTTAGGTGTCTTTACACATACAGATGATAATTTATTTATCCAGAATAAGTCAAATCTAGATTTATATTACTGTCAAAGTTGAAGTTGGATTGTGTGAATCCTTTTGTAATATGTATTTGTGATGTTCAGCATGAAGCAGATAACTCCTTTTCTTTAAGAAATGGCAGTCAATCCAAATTATGGTTGAAGTACTATAAAAACCTAGGAGAAACATGCTATAGGATTCTTCTGTCATCAATTTTAGCCAATTCATTTTAACATAGTTTGTGGAGTCAAAAAGCTTTAAGTTCACCAAGCTATAAGATCACCCCTAACTGTAGTTTTCAAATTGGAAATAATTAAGCTAAAAGGAAGATTTTTGCCAGTATATAATTGTGCCACAAATGGCTTAAGCTGGGAAAACTTTGTGTTAAAATGGTCCTCCTGTTGTGTACAATGGTTTTGGACTGACCTTAGCATTTAGCTTTGAGGGATGTGCATTCATAGATATAAAATTGTTTTCAGAAGGATGTGCACAAGTGCTTGTTTGGTTAAATGAATCTGTGAACTCCTAAGAACGTGCATTGTTTTATATCATGTTCTTCTGCTGTAGGTGAAAGCATATGTAATAAATATTACATAGGTGAATGCATGGATGAAAATGTAAGAACATTCGTTGTTCAAGTCATATAATAACTACTTGTGAATTTTGGTTGCAGTATGAATACTTCAATGCTGTTCTCATCAATGAACGAGATGAAGAAGGAAATTTTTTAGAACTGGTGAAAGAGTTCATTCTAGTGCCAAATGACCACTTCAATAACTTGCCTGTGAACATCAGCCTGAGTGATGTCCAAGTACCAACCAACATGTACAACAAAGGTTAGCTAATATATTTTTTTCTCTCAACATTTCTCAAGCTAAAGATGTGAGGCAACCTGTTATTAGTAAATAGATATATTTGATAAACTAATTCTGTATTTTTTTAAGTTAAGTTACTCTCAATCTTCAGATGAGATAATGCCATAAAAGCTACAGGTCTGAAGATAAATTTCTTTTCTCTATGGAAACATGCATGGTAACCCAGCATAATCAACACTTTGCATATGTCATTTGCTGCAAACTTACGTAGAACAAATGACTTTCCATAGTTTCCAGATCAGTTATACAAGCCTTAAATTGTCATTCATTAGATAGGCTCTCTGTTTGCTATGAGCCTAAGTGCACCTTTTAAACATGACACAGAGAGTAAAACTATTAAGCTGGTAGGAGAACTCTTAACAGTTTAACACTGGCTGCCACTACCTCTTAGGTAACATGTACAGCAAATTAATTTTAATAACTTATCAGACGTGATTCTGAGTGGTATACTTGACATGTAGTGCATTATGTATATGCTTAACAAACACCTGGTCTAACTAACTCAAAGTGCATTGAGCCTGAAAACAGGGGTCATAAACTGTACTCATGACAGCTTGTTTTCATTTTCCCTTTGGAATTTCTTGTTGTCCAGTCATCAGAATTCGGTCTGTCTGCTTATTAGAATTATAGAGCAACAATCAGTTTAATTTTCTGAGCTATACCAATGATGAAATGTATTAAGTTATAGCACACAAGTTTATGAGCTGCAGTCCTTGGGGTACTTGTCAATGATCCATGGAGAGCTGACTGGTCACATGATGCTGGCTTCTCTTTTAAACTGTTAAAAGACATCTAAAAATGCATTAAATACTTTCCAAATGCTGCAGTTCCATGTCAGTAATTGCGGTAATTGACTCAAGGGTGTTGTGTAATCGTAAATGAAAAGGCAGATAGTCCAAACAATTTGGACTGAGAGGAGAATGAATCATGAGACAACCTTTCTTCTAAGATGTGATTCACTATGGAGAAGCTTGAGAACTCAGAAATTGTAGAGAAATGTTTAAATTTGGGATTACAAAAAAACAAAGCTTCATGGTAAATATGTGAGACGATTAAAATAGAATATTTTAAGGAGATTTAGAAAATGCTTCTAAACCTATCAAATAATTTTGGTTTTTAAAAGAGCTAATATTTTTCAAATTGTACCTCTCTAAGGGTGTGTCTACACAGCAGGGCTTAACTTGAAATAAGATACACAAATTGAGCTACATCAATTGCGTAGCTTATTTCGAAATAGCTTATTTAGAAATTGGGAGCGTCTACACAGCACTTATTTCAAAATAGAGCACTCTTCCTCTGACTTCCCTTACTCCTCATACAATCAGGGTTACAGAAGTCGGAGTAAGAAGTCCTCCAGCTTGACAGTATTTCAACATTATTTTGAAATATCTGCCTGCTGTGTACACATGGACTAACTTATTTCGAAATAACGCTAATTATTTCAAAATAATGTTGCTGCGTAGATGTACCCTAAATGAACTCATTTCCGACTTTCTATATTCATATTGATTCCTCATTAAAATAAAATCAGAAAGGAAAAATATATTGCGATGGCTGCAAAGGGCTTTAGACATGCTAAATTAGTCTTATTTTGTAGCAAGAAGTTAAGTGGCTGAGCAAGTGAGATGGTCAGATTTTATTAAAATGTGAGGACCTCCTTCTTATCCATTATTATACTTTACTGTACAGAACTACTTTTCTGACCCTAATGAACTACATATTGAATCCTACATCAACTGCGCTGTCAAATCTTGTTTTGGCTGCTAATCCAGGATTTGCCTGTAGAGAAATATGAGGGAACTACATGATGATGATTCCTGTCTCCACTTTTCCTAATTTAAACCAGACAAAATGATCACTTTGTGCAGCTGCAGAGGAAAATTATTTCTATCTTTCTAATTTTTCTAACTGGTGAAATCTGGATTATTGTGGATATTTTCCTGAAACACAGACACACAGATTCATTGTGGACATTCAACAAAGAGAGGTGATCCGTACACTGTACATTTTTTGGCAGACCATTCTTGTATTTATCTATTGTGATGGTCTGGTGTCCGATAGCTTAATCAAACTGTTGGCATAAGGCATGGACACTAGGATAGTTATTGGTTGACAGCAAGGCACTTGCAGAACAGAGAATGTCTTTTTGTGCAGCTGTGTATTGTATCTCATTTTGTTGTATTTGTAGGGGGTAAGCAAAATCACACATGAAATCATGACTCAAGCCCCAGTAATAAGACTTACTTAAAAATCATAAGACGTTAAAAATAATACATTTTGCAACTTCTTAAAATATTTGCCCTTTGGTGTTTGTGCCTAAATGGTATTTCTACACTGCAATTAAAATCCCATGGCTGCTGTGTGGCAGGTGACTCAGGCTAAGAGGCTGTTTAATTGTGGTCTAGATGTTTCGGCTTGTGGTACAGTCTGAGCTCTGAGGCCCTCCCACCTCACAGGGATTTACACCCTGGGCTCCAGTCCAAGCCTCTATGTGTACACTGCAATTAAACAATCCCTTAGTCTGAGCCCTGTAGAACTGAGTCAGCTGGCCCCAGCCAGCTGCAGGTGTCTAAATGCAGTGTAGACACACCCCTAGAATTCATATTTTCAAGCTTTTGTCTGTAACCATGAGGGCTAGAAATTTACTTGCGGGAGGGGGAAAACAATGAGATTTCACATAATTCCATGAATTCCAGAGCTGGGAGAGCAAATATCAGGAGATTGGTTGTAAAGCCTGGAGAGAAGCCAGCATTGAATGTCACAGATATTAGTTCAGAATGCAATGTCCAATCATGTGGCATTTAGTCACCTGACCCAGCTGCCAGCCAAAGCTGTGAAGCAGGGTTCAGGAATATATGTTTCTGTCTCAGACTCCTACCACATGGTTTACTCCTGGGAGAATTGTGTGCCAGTGTGTTAGTGCAGAATTAGTGTCCTTCACAAAGTCCCCTCCCCCGCAGAATAATTGATTCTGAGTTGGAGGCAAAGGGTAGCTACAGGAGGTGAATACTTGTACACCCTTTGCCCACCAGGGGCTGATGTTGCACCAGAAGAGCAGGCAACTGCCTCAAGAATTGGAACTAAAGTTACATACTTAGTTACAAGAAGTTTGATGAAATAACGAAATAGATCCTACAGTTGGGAAGAATAATTTTTCTTAGCAAGAGAAAGCAGGTAGGCATAGCTAAGTTGATTTAAGTTAATGGGCGATTTTCTTTTGTACTCGATTGCAGTTGAATATATGTAATCTTGTCTCACTGAGTTTTACAATCTAGCAATATTTCCTAGAGGACAAAATTTCATCCAATTAGCACAGTTGGCAATGGAATGAAATGTGCTCTATAAAGCTGCAGAACTTAGTTATCTAAAAAGCTGTTTTGCTGTGTGTTAAATATACTTACAATAAGAAATCGGAGTGAGGAGGTGTCCAAACCTACTTAGTATCAGAACACAGATTTCAAAATTCTGATTGCTCTGTTCACTGTGTGACTATTTATTTGTGCCAATATTCATATTGTAGAACAATCTATCTCAAGTGTAAGGAGTGCTTTAATGCAATGATACTTTAAAGCACAGTGTTATGAATCTATAATCATCACTCTGCTCTTAGTTTCAGACAGGATTTCATTATATCTAGTGTTCCCTGTAAGATTTCTTACCCATGATCAGAGTGAGTTTTGTCTTGTGCACCAATAGTGAAGTCGTGCACTTGTTTGGATGTGCGTCACTGTGGCATCCACTAGTGGTGCTGCTCCCCAAGAGATTCTCCCAGGTAGCACCCCCCACCTCTTGAGGAGAAGGTGAGACGTGCCCCTCCCCTCCTCCAGAGAGCACTTCTTCCTGGGCAGCCTGTGTGCAGGGCAGGGGCTGCCCACGCATCACGGGGCTGCTCTGAGTCCCCACCTGGGACAGAGGGAAGCTGTTGCCAGTGCCCAGGGTTTGCAGGAGGTGAGGTGCTGGAGGAAGGGGCAGTGACATGTGGGGAGCAGGGGGCTCTGAGGTGCAAAGGAGAGGTGTGGGAGGGGGGAACAGAGGTATGGGGGCCCCAGCCCCATGAGCAGCCACACCACAGCCTGGCTCCAGCTTTGGGCAGTCGCCATACAGCCAGCCAAGGGAGCACTGAGGAAGGCACTTTGCAGCCCTGAACACAGCTTCAGCCCTGGGGAAGGGCTGGGACTGGAGCTGGGACAGGGCCCCACCACGCATCCCAGGCCCTCCAAGCAGGCCCTCTGAGTCTGTCCTTGGCCCCCCGAGCAGGCCCCCAGCCCCTCAAGCAAGCCTTCGGCTCCCTGAGCAGGCCATTGGCTCACTGAGCAGGTCCTCCCAAGCAGGCCCTGGCCGCTCTATCATGCGACAGGTCCTGGCGGCAACCCCTGCCATGTGGCAGGTGCTGGCCCAGGCTGTTTTAGCAGGCCCCAGCCCCCTCCCCTCTGGCCACACATCTGGTCCCAGCGCTCACTGCTGGAGCAGGCCCCATCCTCTTCCCATGCAGCCTCAGCTACCCCCAGTACCCTCCCTCAGGCCTCCCTCCTCCAGTGGCCTCTCCACCACACCACCTAAGCTGGCCCTGGCCCTGGCCCGGAGCAGCCACCTGCAGTACGACTCACCTTCCATCAGGAAGGTGAGAGCTGCTGCGTGGCTCTGCAAAGTAGGGGGGCAGGTAGAGAATTGTTTGTGTGGCCATGCAGGCACACACCTTAGCAGGAACTATGATTATATCCCTTGATAATATTTTTTTAAATGCATGCATGCAGCCCGTTTTAGTGTGTGCTATGTATCGTCCTCAGTGCTCAGTCCACAGAGGATGTAAGGCCTCTGTTCAGCAAAGTACATTCGTTTAACTTTAACAGAATGTTTGGTTGCATTGATGTTAAGTTCAGCATCAGTGCAACCAAACATTTAGACGTCACCACTGCTGCTTCAGTAGGGATGACTAAGAGGACAGACATTTCCCATGTAAA